AAAGGACTTACTTTCTGGGATATCTTAACAGACACAAAAGTTCCAGTTAACAAAACAAACAGATAAAAGGCTGAATACAACCTGGAGAGGAACCGAAGGGCCAGAGAGCATGCACAGGAAGCCAAGTTGAAAAGTTCATGAAGAGGAAGGAGACATCTGGACTTTGCTTAACAGCGGGACACCGTGAAGAGGACCACATACGTCTGGCCTTGAATAATTCTAACAATCACACCTATTCCCCGAACTAATTGTAATAACCCAGCCCTTCCAATTGAATATGTATGTTTTGTTGTAATAAATATCTGGCTACTTGCTAGTGACGGTGTGCAAGCTTTGTGGAGAGATCCCCTTGCACAGCGGCTGGAATAAACACGCCTGCTTTAGAACTTTTTCTGAGTTGTAGAGTTTGTTTCCGTGCCTCACCTGCAAAATCTGTTTGGCAGACTGAGGCAACTGTGGGCCTATGTAGGAGACACAGCCTATCGAGTCATGCAATATCATTACATGGCTTGGTTTCATGTCTGGCCCTCAGGACTAGTTTGCCATTTCTACCTGATACTGGATTGCAATTTTAATCTTAAACACTGGGCTGTGGATAAAGTGGAAAAGTTTCTTCTGGCATGTGAAAGTATATAAATAGGAAACAAAAAGGCATTTCCAAAAGCTGTGATTTTTTAAATAATGGCTGTGATTTTTTAATAATGCAGTATTTCTTGGGAAAATGTCTCCAGATGGTAGTGGTTTTTCATGCATGGTTTTTTTTAAGTCTTGAAGCTGATTGATGCATGCTTGAGTTGCATTTCTCGAACGTAATAGAGTGATTCGTGAGAACATAGAATAAGAAAGGTGAATGGATTTCCAAGTTTGAAACTACATGACTATGAGACATGCAGTATGTGCTATTCTTAGCAAAGATGCTGAGAAAAAGGAAAAGCGAGCAATTCACACACAATCTCTACATTAATATTTGTTTAGCTTTTGCAACACACTGCTTGAAGTGTAAGATCTTTTTGTGTCATGCAAATCTAAGCCACTCACAGCTTCAGCAGAAAAGCACCAATGCTTAAAAAGTCTGCTGTGATAATTTAACTCATCAGCATGATAATGCGTTATGGGTTTAAGAAATTAGTTCACCACACTAGAGAAGAGTGCAACAAGGATTCCAGTTGCAGGTGCTTGTTGTAAATGCAGATGGCTTCTTTTAAGTTCCTTTGCAGGGCAGTAATGCTAGTTTTTAACATCTCATATTTAACTGTAATTCAGTAAGGCTAGCAGTGCCTTACTCACTGGCATTTGTTGAGTCTCATGCTTTCTCTTTGATACAGAAGTTTTAAATCTCTTGAAAAGAAATATAAGCATGGGAAAGAAGATACGCTATAAATACCTTGCAGCATATAAAGAAATATTTGTTAAGCTCAGTGGGGACAATAATGAGCGATTGATTAAGCCCAGAAGTAGCTTGTCTCTGAAACAAAGATTACAAGTGTTTGGTGGCATTTGTTTGTGTGGCTAAGCCACTTTTCCAAAATATTTTAATTCATTGATATAATGCTTCCAGATACCTCTTAATAACTACTGAAGCACTGGAAAGCAGTCTGGACTTCGAAATTATTTTAAAAATGGGGGGAAAGGGCAGAGAGAGGCAAGATAATCGGATTATGTTGATTTATGTTTTAACACTGTGGGTAGCAGCCAATAGATCAGGAGAGGAGAAAGAGTGTAAATTATTCTGAACATTTGCTACGGTAGCATCCTATAAGTTATTATGGGGCAAAGGATGTAGGTTGCACTTGAATCTTCTACCCATCTCCAACATGACCCGCAGATAATTTGCTTGAGTACACTGCATCTGATTTCCTTCTGTAGTTTCGTGCTTCACAGTGACAGCTAGGTTTAATTTAGTAACTGAATATTTACTTCCTGCACTTTTTTTTTGAGGAAATAGCATAAATAATTGCAAACTGCTGTGTTCAAACTGCTGTATCTGTAACTGTAAACTGAACAAGGGAGTAGACTTGTTATTATGAGACTTGTGCTTTTCATGTCTGTAAACCAGAGCTCTGAATGCAAAAGTAAGAGGAATGTTGCAGTGCTCTCTGGGGGTTATTTACTCCATAAATCAGTGAATGAAGTGGAAGGCATAACTAGGACACTCTAATCAGCGACTTAATAGAATGCAGGTCCACTATGTCCTCCCACCAGAAAATCTGCACTGACCTCCCAGCAAGGAATTTTAAATTTCTGAGGACATGGAACAGCTCTGAGAATTTAATAGCGCTTTATTTTCATTATTCCCCCACACTTCTGGTACAAAGAAAATACATTCAGTAACTTTATTTTTACTCTGATACCCATAAACCCATATATATATATATATATATATATATATATATATGTATAAACTGGCATATATATAACACTAAAAAATAATTTCTTCTTATCTGAGGATTTTTCAATTTGTGATCATTAAACAGCCCGGAAAATGGGATTTTTATAAAGCTGATTGAAGTACTTGCACAAGAAAGTGAAGAAACATACCAAGAACTATACACTTACCAGTGATGGTTGGAAGATAGTGTTGAAATTGGAAAGTAACTCTAAAAGACAGTTAGACTTTGCCACTTCCCATCAGAAGATCTCATGTCACGAAGGTGAGAAGAGGAAGTCCAGAGATGGCTACCACAGGCAAAGCAGAAAAACTAGAAAAGGGAAAAGATCTGGTTTAAATATTAAAGTAGTAACATAGTCTTAAAATAGATTTTGGTGTAGACAAGAGACATGCAAGAGGCGTGGGTGTAGCAGTACTGAAAAGAAAAAAAGAGCTAATTACTAGATTTCTGCAAACATAGACACATCATGCCAAATTCAGCCACTTTTCTGTGAATTTTCTGGCATCTGAAATAAATGCTGATATTCTGGCTTCCCCCATTTAATAGTCCATCCTAAATACCATCTAAACACATTTTCCTGCTTTTGTTCCTCATTTTTCCTCTTCTGTCAAGGTATTTGTGACAGATTTTTCACCTCTTTCAGATGAAAAACCTTCTGACAGAACGTAATATGGGTAAATTGCGACTGATTTTGTGGATATTAAGATTTACAGTTCCTTAATGTCATCAAATGACATCAAATTTGTTTAGTGTCTCTGTGCTTCTCAGGACAATTAATCTTCATTATTTACCACTGGGTTCAGTATTAAAGCATATATTATTTAATTATTTGATTGTATTACTTTCATGCATATACACTGATTTTGTGTGAAAATGATTCTTCTGAAATCAGGAAAATATGCTGAAACTTCCAACTTACTTTGGAAAAAAAGTTAGGTAGAAAGGTGTTACATGTATTTGCTGTGACAAAGTGGGATATCAATGCAGTACTGTACACAGAAATTTGAATTAACATCATTGCTGGGATACAGCTGCATTATTATGGTGTGCTTTAAAGCTTTTCACTTAGTTGCATCATCTGATGCACCAGCAAATGCTCCGAACTCATCAAGTGGCTGATGGATGTGTTTGTAAAGGCTTGGATGGTCACTTTATATGCAACGGTAAACCACTGTTGTACTTAATGAGATCAGTGAAGCAACCAGAAGGAAATACATAATTCTGTAGCATGAGTCTGTAACCATGGTTCTATCTAGGCTTTTTACGTTTAATGAAGCAGCTACTCAGCTGCTGAATATTCTTGTTAAACAGTCTCAGCATGGATTTTAAAACTAAAATGCTGCTGATAGCATGGTCTCCCTATTCTCTTAAAAAATCTGCATTTTTTTATGTGTTAATGGTTTTGCAATCAGTCATTTGCTTAGTTTTTATTGTAAATGAGGGCCAGAGTCTGATTTCCTTCCCCATTTTCTGAACACTCTATCCCCTGTAAGCTGTCTCATCAGCTTCCAGTTTGCTTTCTGGGATATGCATGGTCTGAAAATAGCGAAATAATCCTGTAAAACAAACACTTTACCAAGCATTTTCCCATTTTAGATGTCTTTCTAAGAATACAAGTCCCTATGTGAAAACTTCCTTGATACAAGTAGTCCAGCACTCCCATCAGATCCTCACATGCTACAAAGCCTTACTGCCAAAGACGTCCATTCAGGAGACTTCAGAAAGTCAGCACTGCCACTTGCTCAAATCCAGTGAGATTATATTACAAGATTTCTTGTAAAACCCAGAGTGGATTAATGTTTAATTTTTAAAGATTCTGTTTCCTGCTGCAGTACAGGTAATACACAATTAACGGAGCGTCTCTCACCAACAACCACAACTAGTAAGGAGCATTGTACGAAGGTATCAGGAATTTATAGTCCCCAGCTCTTTGTTACCAGCATAACACTTGCTTCCCAATCACTGTGGTTCAAAGAATCAAACAAAATACACTGTAAGTGATGGGAGAAAGAGCAAAGCAAACACAGACAAGCTGTGATTTCTACCTCACCTCCTGTCATAAATTATTACTGCATGGAGGCTATTATTAAGCAGGTCTGTGTGACAAAAGCCTTGCACAGGATTATTTGCTGGGTCCTTGCTCTGCTGTGTGTTGGTGATGGAAGGCATGTAGTAGCAGTGGAGTGTGTTCACAGGGGATTTGGAGCTGATAGGCCACTTTCTCCTCTGATACATAACTTTTCCTGTTGGTGAACAGGGGCAGCCTTTAAGTTTAAAAGTACATGAGATGAAGATTGTATATTCCTTTGCAGCATTTGGCAGGGGAGAGACAAAAAGGTTCAGTCTTTCCATTTATCACACCTGACTTCAGGAGTCAGCGGAGAAAAAAAGCAGCACAGAGCCCTGGCTTTCTGTTTCTGAGACATAGAGACTGTTTCCCTGGGACACATAACGTTAAAAGCTTGCAGTCCCTGCTGAGCAGGCTTCAGAGGGCTGAGATGAGGCAGGGACGGGGGGATTTTTCTCACGCATGGTGTCATTCAGTGCAGCAGAGTTGCAGACAGGGAGGGACGTGATATTTCCCACCGCCCTGTCCTCCCTCCTCCCTAGATGGGGACCTGCTGCCCACCACCATGAGGACGAGCCCGTGCAGTCATTTGCCAGAAGTCCTGCCAGAGCGCCCTTGCCCACCAGCACCTGACGGCAAGACCCTGCCCGGTGGTGGCGGCCCGGCCAGCAGCTGCCCACAGTATGTCATGCAGGTGTCAGCCAGAGATGGGCAGCTGCTCTCCTCCGTCGTGCGGACGCTCGCCACGCAGAGGTACCTGGGGGATGGTGGGATGGGATGGGATGGGCCCCTTCCTGCGTGGACTCCAGTGCACCCTCTCCAGCTGCCATCCACAAGTCCCGTGGGCTCTTAAGGGAAGATGTAGCAGTGTGCTTTATGAAGGCTTACCACCGTGCACTTGTAATTAAACCCTCATCCAAACTTTATACTGATAATGCTACCTATGTAACTAAGCCCTCACCATTGCTTCTTCACTTGGTGAAGAAGGGGGAAGGAAGCTGTCTAGGGATGCTGCTGCTCAAGTGCACCAGCTGCAATAATTTGCCCTGGTAATTTATCAGGAGGCTTTGGCAGGCACTGGTTGGTACAAAATGCTGTGTTTAGCCTGCGTGCTGCTGCCAGCACTTCTGCAGCACATTTCCTTCACACATTTCCTTCACACTTCCCAAGACAGCGCACTGAGCGGCCAGACAAGCTGTTTGTAGTAGAGGTGCACACACAAGTGTTGCTGTTTCAGCCATCATCCAAGTGACTGAGAGTGGCTCTTTCTGCTGTCAGTTTAGAATGGCAGATTAGTGGTGAAATACACATTTAAACTATACCCTTCAAAACATTAGCCTGCTTCAGGTTCGCTTTGTTTTCATTAGAAGCAAGATGGAGGTTGTTTAGGGCTTTGGCCATATCCAGACTTGATACTTGGGTCAAAATTAAGTTCCAGTTCACTAGTATGATGCTGGAAAGACTGCACATGTCTGAAGTAGCCCTTAATTTTCACAAAACAGTAAACATAAACCAATCCACTGCACCAATGTGAAGAGTGCAATAATCAACTGCTGCTGCATGTGTTATGTGACAGTTGAAAGGTCCTTTTCCCTTGTAGCATCTTTTTTAAACCCTGTGCATTTTGTACAGTTCAGATGTGTGTGCAGAGCATCAAGCACAACTTCATACTGTTTCACCAGGCAGACGGAAAGGAGCAGGGTAGCTTCTTTACACTTTGCTATAGTTAAACTGAAGTGAGGTCTACATGGGGCAGCCTGCAAACAGCCAGAAGAGGAACAGAGGGAACATCTGTGTGCCACCATACACATCTGCTAATGAGGTTTTGTCAGTGACAGTAACAAAACCAGTTTTTCTGATATCACCTGAGGTGGCATATGAGGTAGAAAGAGTTTCTGTTTCCAGGACCTCAGCCAAAAGGCTGACCTTGTCAGCCTTGGCAGTTGGGGGTCTGGGTTGAAGCTACAGTGAAGTGAATCTCATGCTGCCCTAAGCCGAAGCACCCTGGAAAGCCACATGACTGCTTTGCTCTTTCCCAGAAGATTCCTCTTTAAGATGGAGAATCTTATTAATTAGAACCAGAGTCTTCAGGTTTTCATTGGCAGGAGGAGTGTCTGTCCCCCTTTGCACTTTAGCACCCTGCCACCAGGAAGGTGGGTGATTTGGGAAAGTCAATGCAGGAGAAATAGCCACAGGCAGCAGTGCAGGAGGGATGTGTTTGGCACACTCCTCCTTTTCATTGCCGTTAATATCACTCCTTGAGCTGCTTGTGAGGTGTTGCCCCAAAGAGAATGAAACCCTCCCCAGGGACAGGAGCTTGCTGCCTGCGCACACCTGCCTGAAGTTGCAGCCCTGCCTTCACACTGCTACAGGGCAGGGTGCTGATGTTTCACATTCAGTAATCCTGTGCTGTTTATCACCAAAACCAGCTTACCCTATAGGTCAGGGGTTCATTACTAGCATATGAGATGCTATCCCATAGGTCAGGAGTGATGGCCTAGATCATCACTAGAATAAAAGGTGCCCAGCTGAGGCAGGTTTAGAAATTCCCTGATGCATTTAGAGATTTCTTGAAGTGGCTGCTGTGCTGCACTGTGAAGAGGTGGGAAATACAAAGGTACAGGAGCACTTGGTTGTCTGTCTCTCATGTGCCACTCTGATGTTTTTCACTCTCCGCATGTTTCCCCCCACAGAAGAGGTATTTTAAACAAGAATACCATTAGCCTGGCAGCTTTGTGTATTAACTACAAAGTACACAAGCTGCAAACGTTTCCCACATTGTTAATTCATGACATACAAAGAGAGACTTCCATCACAACCCTGTATACTGACCAGCAATTTTCTCCTCTCCAGCAGTGCCTTCACTGACCGGGCGATGTGCAGGATCTGCCACGAGGGCAGCAGTCAGGAAGATCTGCTTTCTCCCTGTGAATGTACAGGGACCCTGGGAACTATTCACCGCAGCTGCCTGGAGCACTGGCTATCATCTTCAAACACCAGCTACTGTGAACTCTGCCACTTTAGGTTTGCAGTGGAGCGCAAACCCAGGCCATTGGTGGAGGTCAGTATATGGGGCACATCCTCAAAAGCATCCTTTAATGAGCAAATTATGTTTGTTTTTATATCGGCATTGCAGAGCCTTTGCAGCTCCGCCAAAGCAAGCTGTGAGTTTTGGGCTTGGCAGGATGAGGGCAGGAGCTCAAGGAATGGTCAGGAATAATAAACCCCTTATTTTGAACCAAATCAAAGCAAGCGAGAAGAATGGGCTCAGTGAGTTTGCTTCACTGTAAACGTGAGTGAAGGTTTGAGGAACAGTGTGCAGCTAATTCCTCGTATACTAGCCAGCTTAGTAGAGGATAGAAGAGAGGGAATAGTTTTTGTGGAGTGTGAGACAAGAGCCAGTATTCAGTATGTCAAATATAGGTCAGGAATATTTTTTTTTCTTATTTTTGAGAGAGAGGTAACAAGCTGAGGAGCCTTTGAAACCTAGTTTCCATGTCAAGCCCACAAGAATTGGATTGTTCTTGCTCAGTGTCTGGCATGTTCAGCCATTTGTGAGTGACCTTTTGGCGTCCTCTTGCCTATGTACCAGACTCAACAGTGAATTGGACAATTGTTTCTCCCTTATCAATTAAAATTCAGTTTTTGCCAATTATAGATTCTATAGTGGCTGCATGAAGTTTGCCAGTAGGTTTTCTTTGTCCTCAGGAAAAGAGGAAAAAAAAATTTAAAAAACCAAGATCATTATACTGTTGATGATCTTTCTCTTCTGCTATTTTAATTTGGAAAAATAAAAATTAGGATTTGTGTTGGGATTAAAATTGAATGACAAATAGTAACATTTTAGAAAAGTAATGAGAAGCATCTTATTGTACCAGTTGGTGACACAGGTGCTTACATGCTGAGCTTGGGTTCAGGACAACATGTCTTTCCAGCGCATATTCATTGTTTCTGTAAACTGTAGAAGAACTGGTTGAAGGAGATACAGTATTAAAAATAAGGGAGCTGGGTTTGCATCTTCTTTTGCTCATACTCATAGATGAGAAGATACAGGGTAAAACTGACTGCTGAGAAGTGGGTCAGGGATCCACAGGCTTGGGGAGGAGTGGCTGGAGAGCTGCCAGTCAGAGAGGGACCTGGGGGTGTTGATTGACAGCCGGCTGAACAGGAGCCAGCAGTGTGCCCAGGAGGCCAAGAAGGCCAATGGCATCCTGGCTTGTGTCAGCAATAGCGTGGCCAGCAGGGACAGGGAAGGGATCTCACCCCTGTACTCGGCACTGGGGAGGCCGCCCCTCGATTCCTGTGTTCAGTTTTGGGCCCCTCACTACAAAAAGGACATTGAATGACTGGAGCATGTCCAGAGAAGGGCAACGGAGCTGGTGCAGGGTCTGGAGCACAGGTTGTACGGGGAGCGGCTGAGGGAACTGGGGGTGTTTAGTCTGGAGAAGAGGAGGCTGAGGGGAGACCTCATGGCCCTCTACAGCTCCCTGACAGGAGGGTGCAGAGAGCTGGGGATGAGTCTCTTTAACCAAGTAACAAGTGATAGGACAAGAGGTAATGGCCTCAGGTTGTGCCAGGGAAGGTTTAGACTGGATATTAGGAAACATTTCTTTACAGAATGGGTTGTTGGGCATTGGAATGGGCTGCCCAGGGAGGTGGTGGAGTCCCCATCCCTGGAGATGTTTAAGAGTCAGTTTGAAGTAGCACTTAGGGTTATGGTGTAGTTGAGATCTGTCAGTGCTGGGTTAATGGTTGGACTGGATGATCTTCAAGGTCTTTTCCAACCTTGATGATTCTGTGTTTCTATGACTTGTGCAGAAAGAGAATGAGCAGTTATTGAAGGCTACCAAATGTGCTTTATGTTGGATTGTTACGCATGTGCATTTTGTGTCTAGGTCTATCTTCATTCTTCCTTAGGATCAGCAGAAAAAGAGATATATGACATGGTATTTAGCACAAGACTAGTAGTCTTGTCAGGCCTTAACCAGCACAAACCTAGGTCAGCTATGTTCATTTGCCTCTGGCTTGTTGTTTGGTGTCTCTAGGCAGGACTCCAGCCTCTCTTAAGAAGCTGCAGTTTGAGAAAGACTGCTTTTGAGTGTTTTCAGGCTGTCTGCAACTGAGCATCAAAATCTTTATGACTGAGCATTTTCCAGTGAAGATGATAATGCCTTCATTCAGCCAGCTGTTCCAAGCCTGTGCCAAGCAGTTTTTGGTTGTGGTTTTGGCATGAGGATGATTCCACTCTGAATTTGCCTTCTGAAAAGAAAGATGCTGAGACAGGGCAAAGTAAATTGTTTGATTTTCGAGTCCAGCTTCTTCAAGCTGTTCCCTTGCAACAGCTGCTCATGAAGCTTGCTGTGCACAAATGGGACATGACGTTGTTCAGAGCTAATAATGACTAAAGAATTTGAAAGCAAAGGTAACCCTGCCCATCATTCTCTGATCAAGTGCAACTTCTTTTTGGAAAAAAGCAGTATTAAATAATATCAACAACAACAATAATAACAATTATAATGATAAAGCTGTCTTTTGTTTCTTGGCTGAGGACAAGTGAGAACCAGGTGCAAGAACATTTCTTAAACATAGTACACATTGTTAATTTATGTTTTTCTTTCTTCTCAACTACTATACTCACAGTATTTTAGTGCAGTAATTAACAACTTAAACAAAAATTGCGGGTTGTTCAGCTATATCCCTTCCTCCCCTGTGTACATTATTATGGAAGTAGCAGAGGATTTCTTGCTGTGCTTCATGATTTGATCAGAGGAAGCTAGTGAATTCACAGGGTATCTCCCTTCCCCCCCTATGTTGCCAGTTTGCTATTAGTTCATTATGAAGTGAAAGCAAATGCCTCATAAAAATTTTTTGCAAGATGGCTTTTTGCCTTCTTTTAAGCAGTTGCCTATGTTCACACTAAGGATGTGGCTCCATACATCCAAGCAGGAGATCTTTAGCTCAGATACATCTGTACATATCTACAACTATATCTTGCCTCCTGCATACATCATGCAGAGGATGCAAAAGTGCACGGAGATCACATTTGCTTTCTCTCCCTAACTTATGTTATGCACAGCAGCCTGTTTTTCCCTTGATTTCTTTTGCAAGGAAAAGCAAAGGAAAAATAGTATTCATCTTGACCTCCATTTTGTCTTTTATCCCTCTTTTCTCCATCATAAGCTCCATTCTGGTCAACTGAATTTCAAACTGTACTTTGCAAGGGAGACATTCCTTTATCTATGCCACAGGACAGGTTTTTGTTTTCTGCGGAAATACGTCTCCCAAGAAATGTACAATCTGTTATTAACTGTTTGACACCCGAAACCCAACCAGAGAGGCAGAAAACAGTACAGTCTGTCAGACAGATCCATCCTCTCAACATTGCATTTGTGAAGCTTCAGACTTTCTTGATCCATTTCTGTTTTTTTTTTTTTTTAACTCAGATTATCTTCCCCAGATTAACTGTGTTTCTGAATCACAAATCAGGCATTATGGTGGGGACTAAACCCTCCTTCAGTGTTTGAAGAAAGTGATTTGTCTCTTGCCATCCACCATTTATGTCTTTTGTCTCCTTATGCATTGGGTGGAGGAGCTCTGTGACTTGTCCTTTGCCAAGTCAAAGAAGGACACATCAGGGAATGCACACATTTCACCTCTTCCACAGGTGTTTGTCAAAGATTGGTCAGCCAAAAAGAGTGGTTGTCTTTACCATTTCTTGTCTCCATACTGTTGGCCTACATGTGTCAAATGTGCCCTGTGTGATTTTACAGTTGTGGGTAAGAATTGCTTTCTGTTGAGTCTTCACAGATTTTGTTAAATGAGTGGCTAATGTGCTTCAGGTAAGTGCAGAGCCTGCTCATGCCCTACCTCATTTTTGGCTCTTACACTGCCTTAGTTATGGACTGAGCTAATTGGGAACTGTCACTCTCCCTCCAGATAACCGTGCTTCTGGTGGGACTTATGCTTAGAGTCTGTGCAGATGCTCCTCAGCTCTGCCATGGAACGTGGGACTTCCTTACTTCTCAGTCACTTGTGAACTTGTTCCCAACAGCTGCACTAGAGAGAATGAGATATATTGTTGTAAAAGAGCAAGAGATGGATTGTGATGAAAAAGGGTTTTTCATACCAAATGTCACGGAGTCCGTTTGTCTCCCTTCTGGAGGGCACCCAGCAAGCTCTGGCACAAAAAATTTGAAACCACCAACATAAATCAGATATAATCTCTTCATCATAAGATTTCTGTAGCATCGCTGGAACTGCCATTTGAAGTCACAAATAAGAGGATTGTTTGGAGACATCCACAGCCCTACAATGAGTTAAGAGGAGTTATTTGCCAGTAATCCAAAAAATGCTGTCCATTTACACGTTACCAGTATATGCACATTCCCCTCAGTCCCAGGGCTCATGATACTGCAAAATTCAATCCAAGAAGTACAGGCAAGGTCTGGAAGCACCTCTTTTACTGTGTGCTAGATGCACAGCAGCCATGTACTGTCTGCTGGAAATTAGAGGTATGCAGGGCATGCTTGGGTGTATGGATGTCGCTTTATGAGTGTGGATTAGGGATGATGCATCTCAGATTAAAAGCAACTGCTACCGAGTAGCCTTTCTTCTCTCTCCCATGTTTGGTGACCCCACTGCCAGTGAGATCCTGGCTACATTTGACACAGAGGACCCAGGCTGAAGCAGCAGAAACTCTAGACAGCAGTGGAAAAAGTGCATAATATGGTGGTTGATATGTGTAGACATGATGTTCTTTGTGACAAAACTGGAAGGATCTCAAAGCAAACACAAAAGTGAAGTCAAACTGCAGTAGTTTCAGTTAATGATTTTTATAGACTTTCCACTTTTATATAAGATGCTTTCTTAATGCAGATAATCCACAGAAAGAAATCCATTCTAGAAGTGTGTGACATGATTCATGTAGATGCTTTTGCTGTTTCAGCATAAAGATAAGGCAAGCTTTATATGAGTATTATATGTCATCTTCATTTCAATTTCCGTATTGCATCTATGTTGCTTCCACTTGTCTTAGTACAGAAACAGACACGAAACATGGCA